GCCTCTCCTCTCTCTCTTGTTCTTCCTTGTTGCTAGTGGTGTTTGTGACTCCATTAGAGGTGCAACACTTTGAGCACTACGATTTCAAAGGTCAAAGAGTTCTTGTTATTACTACATAACAAGTTGAGGTAATCATTCTAACTTGTTTATTATGTCAATTTCAAAATAAGCATGCTAGATTAGGGTTTATTTCTTTGGTATTCAATGTTGTATGTTCAAATTAGAAAAACCTAGATCAAAGCAATTAGGGTTGCATGTACACCATAGAAATGATGTTATGCTCATAACCCAACAGTAGTATCAGAGCATAGGTCGTTTTTCTAGTTGAATAGATGCAAAAGTAAACTGCCAAAGGATCAAAAAGTCGAATTTTTTGCTATCTGCGAAGCCGAATCGGCGAGTCCATCAGTGGACTCGGCGAGTCCAGGGTGCTGTTGACGGGATTTTCGATTTTTTGAGTAGATTTTGTTAAGGATAATTACCAAAACTCGTTTTTACTGCCTAAAATTGATTTTTTATGTTTGGAATGATTATCCTTATCAAAATTAATGGATTTAGTTAAATATGGATAGTATAGGATTATTATGATTCAAATATTTGACCTAGTAAGTTTGAAAAGTTTCAATTTACACCCTGTAGGTTTTATAGTTTAAATTTGAACTTAAAAGTTTTAGTTTCTGAAATTTAAACAGTTAAACCCTAATATTTTGAAAGGTTTCAAAATTTGTCCTCAAGTTTTGGAATTTAAAATTTAATTAAAAAGTATTAATTTTGAAATATTGAATTCTAAAACCCTAGTATTTTGAAAAGTTCAAATTACACCCTTATGGTTTTATTATGTTAATTAAGTGTTTAATTAAAAGAGATAATTAATAAATCTATAAGTATATGGTTTAAGTTTAATCAAATTAAATGTCTAATTTATTAATAGATTAAACCATTTAGTATTTTAAAAGTATAAAATACACCCTTATATTATATAGAATTAAAAGTTTAATATATATGTATAAGTAAATGTCAGTCTTACCATTAGTAGGTCTCATTCATGAAGCTGGTCTATAAGGGGTGTTTAAGGAAGCGGCGTGTAAAATGACCGCCATTGGGTATCTAATCTTACCCACCGCACCCTTGACTAGTGGAGGGTCGTTATCCGAAATAGGACACAACCTTCCATTATAAGTATAATGAAATACGAAGTAACTAAACACTTTTATAAATTCCCAA